AACCAATATATGAATTGATCCGTTAAACGCAGACAAAATTTAAGGTAATGATTCAAATGTGTAAAAGAAATGACGAACAAGCGAGAGCTGAAGCGTTAGCTTATAAGTTATCACAGGGGAAATTCAAGACTTTTGGAATTCAGTTAATAATATGACTAACAATGTTGGACCTCTACCATCTACTATAGAGGGTTGTGATGGGCAAACAAGCATTTGCAATATGTGAAAAAAACATTATGAATCGCTTCTTCAGTCTGTAACAAATTGTGAAAATAATAATCATGTGATATCTGCTGTGAATGTCATGAATTACCACAAAGATATGATGGTCACCTGTAATGAAATCAAAGTAGCCATTAATAAATTGGAAAAGGGAGAATGTATAGGAAAAGACAGTCTGTGCTCGGAACATATCATATTTGCGAATCAAATACTGTATGTTCTACTAGCCTTGTGCTTTACTGCATTCTTTGTTCATGGACACCTGCCAGACTATTTTATGGATACAATGATTGTCCCAATTGTTAAAGATAAGACTAAAGATATCACAAGAGTGAATAACTATAGACCTGTTGCTATAGTAACCGTTTTATCAAAATTATTTGAATTGTGCATTTTAAATCGAATTGAAAACTTTATTGTGACTAGTGATTTGGGTTTAAACGCAAGCATTCAACAGAAATGTGCATCTTCGTAGTGAAGGAAATTGACGACTTCTATAAAAGTCACAACTTGCCTGTTTTTGCTTGTTTCCTGGAGCAGCAAATGCATTTGACAGGGTAAACCATTGGAAGTTATTCAAAAAATTACTTGATAGGGGAATGTCTGTATTCATTGTGTGTTGTCTATTGCATTGGTATCGAGGTCAAACTTTTTGTATCCGTTGGGCTTCAGACCAATGGAGTTCGACAAGGAAGCATTCTTTCGCCGACGTTATTTTCAATTTATATTGATGATCTTGGTACTAGGCTGCAACAAGCGGGTGTTGGATGTCATTTAGCTGGTAAAATAATGAATCATCTTTTTTATGCTGATGATATTTTGTTAGTTTTACCTTCTGTCAAATCATTGGAAAAGCTCGTTGAGATCTGCAAGTGTTATGGTGAGGAGTTTGACATTCTTTTCCACACTACTAAGACAGAATGCATGTAATTTTTTCCAAAAACGTGGAGACAGACAAGGGTCCCAAGCGTGTACTTGTATGGTAACCTCTGGTTTTCATCTCAGTAAAAAGTACCTGGGCTATATGGTGTCATCAGATGGCAAGGATGCAGCTGATATGAAGCGACAATTGTGGTGTGTTTATGCTAGGGCAAATTTTATTTTACGAAAATTTATAAGAAGTTCAGATTACGTTAAGTGTATGTTTTTTAGAACGTATTTATACAGTATATATTGTTTGAATATTTGGTGTGATTAGCGTACACAAATTGTGAATACTGTGCGAGTGGCATTTAATAATGCTATAAGATTGATCTTCAGCCTTAAACGGGCTAGCAGTGCTAGTGGTAATTCAGCGCAAGGAATTCAGTCAGCGCCTACTTACATGTACAAGCGATAATGCTTTAATTCGTACTTGTGTCAATTCTGACAAATTTTGGACTAATCTTAGACGTTGTATTTATTAGTGTTGGTGTTTGTTATGTATTTAATATGGGACTTTTTTGGCCTGCAATAAAGGATTAATAATAATAATAGCATAAGCAAATAAAAAAAAAACAGATGTGTAACATGTACTTACATCCCAAGCTTGTTTCTTTATCGTCTTTTTCTTTGGCTTTCCTTTAGCACTTATCTTCTTTCCCTGGTGAGATTTTTTAGCACGCACAAATGACATTTTTCTAAAATCACTGAAATTCAAAAAAAAAATTCATATTGATATTACATGTGGAATACTGAAAGTTTGAAATCCATAAAATAAATATTTTTAATTTTTCAATTAATATTAATAAGATTTACACACAACATGTACACATGTACACATAATTATATTGGTGTTATAATGTACTTCAAAAGGTTTTCCTAGAAAAAATGAACAAGAGGAAGTACACACAGGTGAGGGAGCAAAGCGAGAGTAGCTACATGTAGCACAGAAACAACATGGCGGATCAACCTGGAAACGCCATATCGGGAGGTTTCTGTGGAGGCTTCTGTTTAATGGTGTATATATCGCCATTGAAATATTTTTGGAGTAATTTTAGTGTATTTGTTGTCCAGACACATTGTCAGCTGGTGTTTTGGGGAAGTTTTTACGAAGAAAAATATATTTGAGTAAGATTTCATGTTGTACGACAGCTCAGAAGTGCGCAGCTCAAGAAATATATTTATGAATTGAAAGTTCAATCGGCAATTCGGTAAGAGGATGCCAGTCTAGAGTATCAGGGCATTGCGCCCCTGTTCCCCAGTAAAGAAAATCAAAGAAAGCTTAGAAAGAACTCCCATGTGCTGAGAGTATTGGAGACACAGTAAATATAATTCGAAATTACTTAGCTGAAAACTAATTATGCAAATCAGAAAATTAATATGAGCAGATTTGAGTGTAAAACTAATGAGGTCTGCGCAATGTAACAGAAAATCTATGTTTCCAAGTTTAATTGAAATGTGATTAGAACCAAAAAATTATGAATTATTATGCTTATTAGGGAATTAATATGAACAGATTTT